TATTGAAACAAAACGTCGGCAGCTATATGCATAAATATATTTAAAAATGACATGTTCTTTGTTGCTTCGCTATCAATTAATATTCCAAATCCACTCTGATGGAAATTTGAATAATTTCTTATATGCGGAGGTAATTTAGAGTTAAAAGACTTTTCAAAGTAAAGGTTAAAAGAGGGTCTCAACGAAGGGATAATTTTGATGTTGACAACTGATTTTTTTTCCAATTTTGACTATTGATGGTTAAATCTTGGGGCTAATGACGGTTGACGATGTCAGTACCTTTGACAGCTGACGGTTATTACGAGTTTAAATCACTTTAAACTAGCTTGTTGTTGATTTAGCACGAGTTATGAATTATGTTTACAGCTACTCAGTCTTTCTCTGACAAAGTAAACTTAATTTTAAAGACCTCTAACGATTAACTACTAAAGATATGTCCAGAGAAATGCATGCAGTAACGAAAATGGCGAAAATTCGTCAAAATTGACAGATTAGACCCACTTACCCACCCACCCACCCTACTGATTCTCTAATGAACCCTACTCCCCCCCTCCCATTGAACCCCCTAAACTTTACCGGAAATGATCAAAGAGTAAAACATATCGAAGAAACTTAAAGGGTATTTCAGAGCATCTGAAGAGTGAGCCAGTTTCACTCGAAGAATAAAATGATTGATTGCTTTTTCAGGCTCCATGGGTAGGGGGAGTGAAGGCGACAAAGAATATTAATATAATTTGACCTGAAGGTGACTGTAATGGTCACAGATCTTTAAATCCTTAAAATAATACATAAAATTTTGTTGTTTTGTGGTAGTGAGAATTCGCGAGGATATATTGAAATGCAGAAGGCGCCAACGAGAGGTCATCGAGCTCTGTCCAATAAAAGGTCTCAGCCAAATTATATAATCGCTTGCAAAATCCACAGAGAGGAAAATGAAAGGAAAACATACTTGGCATTAGTACGAAATTGGGCCATTTTAACAAAGATGACTGTGTACTGTAGGCTTCAAATTCAAGTACTTGTACAAGACTTACAGTCATTTTCAGATTTAGCGTATTTTATGGGATTCAAATAGGAGTGAAAGTTTGCAACTATGAGGTCCTTTGGATCTTTTATTTAAGATTTTCTCGACAGAATAACTTCCAGCTTAGTCATCTCCACTTTTCTGTGGTAAACAAATCGTGTCATCATCAAATTACTTCATATATATATATCGACGAATTGGAAGCATACATTACTTTTGTAAAAACGATGGCAGGTTTTTTACTGCAGGCAACTGCTTTCACGTCTCTTGGAATTCTCAAACGCGGTAAAAGAGCAATGTTAATTAATCAAAACCAAATGAATTTTGATATACAAGTATCACTATAGCAAGTATTTAAAGTTAATGACCTGTACTTCAGTCTTAAATGGGTCCAAAGCACTTGAGCGGTCCAACACTCAGTATGACATTCGGTTACAATTTTGGGCAAATACTTTAAACTAAACATTCAAATTACCAATTCATTACATTTCTCTGAATTATCATGGACCTCCATTCTAATTCAGTTCTGCAAAGAGAGTACAGTGATCAAGCAATCTTTTTGATGTTCAACATATAGTCTTTGTGACTTCTCAGTAGATAAGTCCATAACACTCCAGTTTTCCAAGCGTGTGATATCCTTTTTCATCGCCACCGGAAAGGACACCGGTATCTCCAAACCTCATTTGAATCACGGGAAGCTTGGACTTGTTTGTTAGTAAACCGCTGTCCTCTCGCCATTTCCAATCGTTTTTATCGCAGTTGCAGCCGTAACTGCTGTCCGCGCACGTGTTGTTCCACCCACATGCACATTTGAATGGAGCAGAGTCGACTCCACCCCAGTACTTCATCTTCTCGTCATCACGTGATACCCACCAGCCGAACATGCCACCATTGTAAAGGAGCATTGAATGATAGCATTCGTATTTGATAAACTGCTCACAGTGAGCAGATGAAGCTGTTAAGCTTGCTAGCTGAATTAGACTGGCTTCATTATAAGTAACGTTGCGCGAATAACTACCACGAACATCAAATCCATCCACCAGCATTCTGCTTTCACTATCGTGACTGACAACTGTCACTCCTATCCCCCCCTTGTTAGTCATGTCACAGAAGACTTTAAAAGGTTTCTCTCCGCCCTCTCCATCAGGATCGATGACGTAAGAGTCACTCGGAGTCCTAGGGTAGAAGCGTTTGATGTCACTGCAGGTTCGATTTCCTGAAAAACATAAAGGCACAGAAAAACGACTATTTCCCAAATGATTATCCCTGTTCTCACCGAAAAAAAAAGTGATGACGTAAAAAGCCATTTGAGAGACTATATACTTCACTCTGAAAAGGTTTATTTCCATGGAAAATGAAGATAGAAAAAAACGGCCGACTTAGGTCAAACTTTTCCTTCCCTTTCATACTGGGAAAATGTTGGAGGACACTATACATGTAGATGCAAGCAGTTGCTCAAAGTTTTCAATGATATTTAGATATAATTCATTTATAGTGCATTTTAAAAAATGGAAATAAAGACGACAGCACGAATTCTACCTTAGAGTTTGTATCTCTCAGTTGAAAGGGAAAAAAGTTAATCTCATACCTCCACGTTTACAGTGAGTTCCATCGAATCCAGGCTGACAATCACAGTGATAGGAGTTCTTTTCATATTTAGGAACACAGACACCACCGTTCTTGCAGGGAAAGCTTTCACATGGAGACTGAGAAGAAAACAAACATCTCAACTAAAAACATTTATTCTGTATCCAAAAAAATTGAAATCTGGAAACTGCCAGATATGAATAAAGATGTCTTACCCGTGCTCTGTAATGATGGAAGGTTGCATTTGCATGAAACTTTTCAGTTTCTCTGTATTTGTCTGTGGCCAACAGCTCACACAGACAAACACCCTTGGAATCAGGATACGCAGCCATGTTGAACGAATAACAATTTGGTTCACGAACACAAAGAAAAGTGCAGTCCAACTGATCTTTCACCATGGACGATGAAAGTTTCTCTGCCCACAAGTAATAGAAGGGATCGCGCTCAAAGTTACCGAACGAAACAGTGCCTGTCGGATATCGGTACAGAGCGTTGTTTTGCATGGCACATATCAACTTCAACAAAGAAGGAAAAAACGACAAGAGAGGCAGGAGCAGCATGGTGATGGCCGGTGAACTGTCAACCTCTGAATAAGCTGCTTTAGGATACCGAAGAGCTTAAACATGAATGGAAAATATGGTAATTGCCTGTTTATACAAATCCACTCAAAGAGCAGGTGCAACTTGCGAGTTGAGATATGAAATGTTACGATAGTTAATAAAACAAATTTCTTCTTTTAGAAATCATAAAAGAGCATTTTTTTGTCAGTAGATTGAAGTATCTTAAACCGATGGGTGAGAGAAAAAAGCGAGAAACAAAAGGTATGTCATAGTCGGGCGACTGTTAAATATATGCAATATGTTATACAGTTGTTAAACATAAAGTATCAGTTAATTAAACCATTCAATCTCAGACGCCGTTGTTCCGCTGTTTTTTACCTGTTTTATTTGATTAACTAATAGATAGTTTCCTGTTTCATATGTCTCGCTCCACCAATAACCTTCTATTTATAGTTTATAACCCCTAACCGAATTTTGCGAACCTTTTCAGCGACTTTAGCCTTGTAATAGATATTTTATAGCCTTAATACTTAGAAGCATATTTAATACGTATGAATGAACACCATAACCTTATCAAAATACTGTTTTTTTGTAATTTCCTGCTTCCTGGGGCATTTCTGAGAAACTTCTACACACTCGTTTACAGTTGCAAGAAATGTTTGACTTCGTCTGAAGAAGCTAGGAAACCTCTCAATTGAAATGTGCAACGTGCGAGCCTTCATATCGTGTTTTAGTCAGTCTTTTCATTCCGTATGATAGCAGTTTCAATCAAAAACTGTAAATTTTTTAAACATCAACATTTATATAGATGTCTCCTTTTCTGATAGGCAGATTATTTAATTTATGAGTTCAAAAATATTTATATGACAAAATTCATGTCACTTGCAAAGAATGGTCTGTGCTAAAGTGAAATACTCCTCGAGCACTTCTTGCAAAATCGGAGTTTAATAATGTCTGTTCTGCAGGTATCTAAGACTCATACTTCGACTTATTCCGTACCTGTGACGCAGATAATTACCATTAGTGCGATACTTCCCCCACAATTGTTATCTTAGCGAAACGCGTGCGATGAATGTTTATCACCACTAATAGTGTAGCCCTCTCACAGAATGCAATTTAAAACCAACACGAACGTAAGTAGGAGAGATTTAACATAATTGTAGCGTCTTGTATCAAATTCCATTTAATTAATTGTCGTTATGATTTGCCAAAGAAAGACAGAACGAATTTTAGTTTCGGATAATTTATAGCTTTTCTCTGATTCTTGGCTGTTATTTTACTAGCCAGGTACATAATTTCATAAGCAGCCATTTTTTTAAAGCGGAGCCTCATTTTATTAATATGTTTATGACCTTCCCCTTAATGCTGTAACTAAATACATTTCCGTGTGCTATTAGCGGATAAGGGACATTTATGTATGAATAACGGTATATAATATGAAAATGGAAGCGATCCTCGCAGCTATAAACACAACTTAAGCAATAATAAAATCCGTACATGCCTGAATTTTTTTCTGGCCTTATCTTCACTACTGCTTAAGAAGTGTTCATAACTGCGAGGATCGCTTCCATTCTTCAACCGCAGTTCATATATATGATTTTCATATATTTATAGCCATTTACTCACCACTTCACAGGTTTATTTGGAACCATCATAATGACCAGCTCCCAATTGGCTTGTTAGCTCAGTTGGTAAAGCGCTGCACCGGTAGCGTAGAGGTTGTGGTTTCAATTCTTCAACCTCAGTTCACATATACGATTTTCATAAATTGACAGTCAAATATATAATATCTTGTGAATAATTAATAATATGCCTTTTCATAAAAACTGTCACCATGGTAGTTGAGAGTAGAAGGGAAGGGGAGTTGAGACTCATTTGGGACGTTTAGCCAATGCTTTGAGAGGATCACTATTTTTTTCTTTGAGAAATTGTTAGTTTATCTTTCTTTC